TGAGAAGATACTTGGTGATGTTCTTAGTTCACAGAGTGGCTTGGTTCCTGCAGACATTTTAGCATAATAGGTCCAAAATGTCACTGGCCATTGAGGTCAGAAGGGACAATTTGTGGTCAAAGAATGGCTTTTATGTCCTTACCTTTGAACTGTTCTTCATTTAATTTAATCTTCTAGGCTTCTTTAAAAAAAAAAAAAAAAAGGACTATATGCAGAAAAGTGAATTATACTGTTATGTTAAAGATGATTATTTTCTAGAATGTCTGTGAATACTTCTCACATTCAGTTTTATGAGGTGCTTCATATTTTTGTAAATGCATAGGTCACTTTAGTATGGCTATACATATATGCACCTTTGCAGAAGTTTATATGTATTCTTTGCAGGAGTCTCTAATCTAAAAGAATTGGAAGGACAAACACATGGAACAATGGCATGTATCATTCTGGAATGTGGTTATATGCTGATAGGAACAGAGCTTTTGTGAATTAAGTTAATTAGCCTTCATTTGTGTGGCCTTGTTGGAAATCTCATGAATTGCATGAAGTCAAGTTTTATGCCCCAATTATAAAATATCTAGCAGTAAATTTAAACAAATGCAAAAATTGATAAGATAGAAATTAGAATATCTGATGTGAGTAAATTTTGAAGAAATACATGTACCCTGTAGTTACAACAATTGATTGAAGAGTCTTGGATACAGTACAGTCCTCATGCTTGTAAGGAATGATGCAGAAAGGAAGGAATGTACTTGAATTTTGACCAAATGTATAAAGTATTTAGGAAGTATAGACCTTGCTCTAAAGGGAGGCCATCTTAAAATAATCTGAAGGTATCTTAATGGAAAAAGCAGACAATAGTAGAACACTATCCAACAAGAAGGCATTAACAATGTTTTCAAAAGAAAAAGTTAAAAGATAACTAAGCCAGTATGTTGTAAATAGTAGATAAGGCAGCTTTGCTCCATGAGAGGTCACTTTCACTACAAAATGTTTCTTTTTTGATATGGCAATGTGTTTCAATATGACCCGAGTTTATTTTTCAACTATATCCTTTAAAGTAGATTTTACAGAATATATATGTCTTCAGGATTATGAGAACTGCATATAAAGCCTTATAATATATTGAGTGTATGCAGGCAGAGATATAAACCTAAGTTTTACCTCTGCTTACTGATGTATTACATGAAATATAGTGGCTAGTATTTCCTGGTATGATATCGTCTTTAATAGATTTGGAACAGTGTATTTGGAGGTGGTTTAGTAAGTTAGCGTCAAGGATCAAGAAACCTACTTTTAGCAGGGGGTTAGAGAAAAGATGATGAGTCAATAAAATATGGATTGTTTTCATTTGGGAAAGATAACTGATCCAAGAGTGGGAAGTCCTACATCTGTCAGAAAAACCTGTAAGCAGTCGTTGCTATGGTCAGACGATGGATGCCAAATATATCTGAAAGCAGATATGGCTACTGGATAACTACAAGACTTGTTTTAATGTTTTTCAAAGAAAATCAATAAGACTTTCTTAAATAATCTTGCTTCTTGAGGATAGAGATATAGAAAGAAATTTTAGTGGCAGAATGGAGCACTCAGACGTGCTCAGCTGATGTGGAAATGACGCATTTTCTTGTATAAACTATTGCTGTGGTAGGATCACTGTGGAGTCGGTAGGGATTTTCTCCTTTTTACTTCACCTGTTGGAGGAGTTCTGTCTTGTAAAAGAAAATACACTTTCCTTCCAAGACTGATCTCCAAGGTGGACACCTTGCAGCTGGTACTTAGCACTTAATTGATACAGGCTTCCAAAAAGGAAGAATAGCTGAACTGGTACCTTTCAGGTACTCCCTTTTGAGTTGTGATGAACTGATCTGGAGGAAAAAGTGCCAGTAAAGATGCATTATATTGAATGAAATGGTGAAGCCTAATGCACTATGGGACACTTCAACTGAATCTGTAATAACTCTGAATGTTTTCTCCTCACCTACTCAAAGAGGAAAAATGAGTTGAAAGAAATTTGGCAATGGGGCAATGAGAAAAATACCAATAAACACTAATATCAGGTGATCATATTAGTGGCCAGTTCCAGAAGTTATAGGAATCTCCAGCTGCTTCAACATCTAATAGTTATTCCGTTGTATCCAGGTGATAGTAAGACTTTTGTGTTTCTGATAGGAGGCGGCTTTCTTCCCTTGGTGGTTAAATCTCAGTGCATGCCTTTGACTAGCCATTGTCCACAACTTTCAGATGTTTACTGTATACAAGTGCAAATGCAGTTATCTGAATATTTTCTTTGGACAGGGACAGATCCCTGGGTGCACACACCATATTTTCTTCTCTTTACTGGTGCCACCTGTTGTCTTGTGGAAGCAGAATTATTACCATACTGTTCTTTAACTTTTTATGTCTAGAAAAATTAGAAAGCAAATGGATTGCAAGTCAGATTTACACTTGAATAATATCCTTTTGATAACATGCAAAAGGTTTAGAAGTGTCATCACACATTTGGAACTGACTACAAGAGAATTCTCTTTTAGGGAAAATTCTTTCCTTGCAAGACTCTTTTTAATGCCAAGAGGTGATCCGATGCAGGATGAAATCTCTCTCTGTGGGTATAGTAGCTGCCTTATGCATATGTGCTTATTACTATTTTTAAAAAAAGCATGCACCTGCATCATTCAGGGATTCTCAAGATTCTTTTTGTTGTGCAATACTCAATCTCTATGAGATGATTAAAAGTACAGACACCTGAAGGTGTTGGTGGTTGGTTTGGGTTTTTTTTTTGCTCTCTGGACCATGGTAACTTTCCTTTTGATTGAAACAAAACTTGCTCTAGAATGGGGACATTCTGACATGCTTTGATAAGCCTAGTATAATATGTCATGCTTGCACTATTTCAAAAAAGAAATTATGGAATATTTGCTCCGTTGTTGGTGGGTAAGTAATTGCTTGTAAGCATGTGCAGAGCAGTTGAAATAAGGAAGAAAAAAACCAAATGAGACAGCTCAGATGATGTTATATACCACCAATCCTGGAAACTATAAGGAGTTATATCCTACAAATACGATGTATGTACTAAAAGACTGTCCTAAGCTGGAACATGCTAGCCTCTATTTCCAAGCTTTGTTTAACTGAAAGAAGTCCAAATTACATTTTTCAGTAATAGATTTATTTGTCTGTGGATACTTAGTGAAAGTGTTAAGGCAGAATTAGGTATTGGATCTCTCTTCACCCAGGGAGTTTGTGTGCAGTTTCTTCTCTCTTGCACCATATGGTTTTACAAGCCATACCTTAACTTTCAGGATTGAAGAATGAGGAGAAAAAAAATAATTAATGAAATTCTGTCAAAGCTGCCAGGTTTCACCTGGTTTCATATCCAAAGCAAGGCAAGGCTTTCAAGAAAAACTCTAAGTCAGCCCAGATTCACTCAACACTGGGCCCAAGTTCACTCAAAAGGGTTGTGAGCCTTTTGAAGAATCTGGGCCAAGTTTCAAGTCAGTATTGAAACCTGTAATCAGGCAAGCTTCACGTGCACTTGAATTTCCTTGAGAACATTTACCCAGCTCTCCCTCAAGTTTTCTGTGGTTTGCTGGGGTTTTTTTCACGTTCAGCAAAACAATGATGGAGCCTGATACTGCAAACATCCAGGCATTGTGCACCCTACTGAGCAGACTACATCGCTACTAATAAAAAGTATTTTCAGCATCAGGCATAGCTCTGATCCTTGTTCTGACTGGGCAAGGAATAGGGAAACTCTGTGTATCTTTGGTAGGCATTTCACATGTCTTTTTTAGTGTTAGTGTATGTTTGTGAAGTGCAGTTAATTGAAACATTGTAACAGAAAACTAGTGGTTATCTTTGTTTCTTAATAATTTCATTGCCTTTCTTGTGTTTGCCAAATTTTAAATCAGGATTTCCTTTCTCAAAAGTGGTGTGTCTACAAT